CGGGTCGGTCCCGGGTGTCAGCACCCGGCATGGAGCAGACTCACGTGTGCGAGGAGAAACCGCTGGGCCGGGTGGCTGAAGGCAGATAAAGTAATTGTGAAGGGGAACCGTGCACAGACATCAGCTCAGCAGGCTTTCTAGACCCAGGAAGTACCGGACACCTACGGGTTATTCATCTTTCTGGGGGCCAAGCCTAACTAACGACTTCGAGCTGGGATAACTTTGGGGGCCTGATGTAAGACATTGGAAGCCATAAGCTGATAAAAAAAATAGTATGTGACCATTTAGCAAGCTATTCAATAAGATGTATCAGCAGTTCTAATCACTAATATAATTACTTTTTTAAAGAGAGAAAGAGCGAGAGAGAGAGAGAGAGAGAGAGAGAGAGATTCAGTTTTTCTGTTATGTGGTTGAGTGTGTGCGGTGCCCACAGAGGCCCGAAGAAGGTGTCATATCCCCTGGAACTGGAATTACAGATGGTTATGAATCACCACGTGGGTCCTGGGAATTGAACCAGGTCCTGTGAAAGAGCAAGTGCTCTTAACTTCTGGCAATCTCTCCAGGGCCATTACTATAATTTCAAAAAGGCAATAAATATCTTAAGTGCAGTGTGAATGTTTTGGTGACTTCTATTGGCACAAAGTGGCAGCTTCTAATACTTCTATGCAAGGGTAGTGAAAATAAACATGTTACCCCCACGCCCACACACACACCAGTCAGATTTTAGGAACACTGCTTCTTCGGTTTTATTCTTATACCAGGATTAGAAAATCCCCAGGTTAAGAATATCTAAATTAATAGTCTTTACCACCTTCCACCTTCATGTGGCCTCTGCGGTTGGAACTCAAGTTGTCAGGCTTGTCCAGCAAGCCTGAGCCACCTTACCAGCCCTTGGGTAATTTTTCTGCCTCAGTACAGTAACACTCTAATTTCTAAGTAAAATAGTCTACAAAGTAGTCTCTATAAGAAGCACAGAATACACAAAATATGTGGGTTTTTTTCTTACTAGATATGTATCATGGCTCTGTGTTACATGGTTTCTCAGATGGAGCCAAGGGTGGGTGGACCAGAGAGGAAAAAGTAACACAGAAAAGCTTTTAAAATTCCTTGAAATTGCCGGGCGTTGGTGGCACACGCCTTTAATCCCAGCACTGGGGAGGCAGAGGCAGGTGGATCTCTGTGAGTCTCCAGAGCGAGTGCCAGGACAGGCTCCAAAGCTACACAGAGAAACCCTGTCTCGAAAAACAAAAACAAAAACAAACACAAACAAACAAACAAAAAACCAAAAAACAAACAAACAAACAAAAAACAACAAAATTCCTTGAAATCTGGAGCTGGAGAGATGGTGTAGGCTTGCTATTCTTTCAGAGAACTACAGTTTGGTTCCCAGCACCCACGAGGGACAGCTCTGAACTGCCTGTATCTCCAGCTCTGGGAGGGTCTGATGCCCTCTCATGGACTCTGGGTGTGAGCGCATGTGCTCTCTCTCTCTCTCTCTCTCTCTCTCTCTCTCTCTCTCTCTCTCTCTCTCTCTCTCTCTCTCTCACACACACACACACACACACACACACACATCAATGAAATCTTCCAGGTTTCACTAGAACATATCCCTCCATTTAGAAATAAGGCTTACATCAGAGGTATCCAGGAGCTACAAAACCTTTAGCCAAGCAAAAAGACAGGTCAAAGACTCTCCTGACCCTGGTCTTAATGTAGCTTACATGTAGCCTTTGTAGCCTTTGTGTAGCTAACATGGAGTTTAAATCCAATCTCCATGAGACACGTTGTTTGAGATTCAGAGTTTCAAGTTTTTATAAAACAAATAACCTGAGTTTTAACAATCTGGATTTAAGTGGTGGCAGCGTGGGTTAAGGTGGTAACTAGGTGCACTCAGAAAGGAGCATAGATGGGTCACAGAGAACAACAGCGCTGACCAAGGACATCAGGGAGATAAAGGGCGAAAGTTCCTGAGGTTAGAGGCAGACTCCGAATCAGGGTCTTAGCATCCATGTAGTAACTACAGGAAATCAGTCAGAAAGCCCACGTGTCCACAGAACTTACCGGCCGTCCAGGAGAAATAAGCTTTGCTTGGCTCTTGGCCACAGGAGCTGTTTCTCTTGGTTCCTCATAAAGGGGACACTGTGATGTAGCCGGCACCTACCCTGGCAGTTTGCCTGCAACAGAGACAGTGATGGGATTCACTCAGCTGTACCTTATGTCTGCTAGTCATGATATCTGGTTAGAGTCCTGGATCCCTGGCCACCCAAAGACTTGTCTCCTGAGCAGGACGTGTGACCACAACACTAGTGACTCAGCTGTCTCTCCTCAGTGAGTTCTGTCCACAGACATCCCTGGTTGCTGCTCTCTGAATTCAACATTGCAGCCTGCCCAGGCCAAACTTTGCACAGGAACTGAGAACACACATAAAAGATAAGGATACAGACTGGTTACAGAGAAAGGTGGGGCTCCTCTCAGGGGCTCAACCCTCCCACTCAGCCTAGCTGGACCTCCTTAGACTTGTGCAGAAGCCTTACTCCACCCCCTCCCCTCTCGCCCTCACAGGACCACCACTTCCAGCTCCTTCTCTGCCCCGGGGCCCCGAAACCCGTTGTATATCTTCCTTGATATCTCCTCTTCAAGGTGGCTACCTGACACACCTGGCTCCAGGTTGGTTGCTGAGAACACAGAAAACTCCACCTTAAGAAGTATCTGATTACTTTTTTAATTAAAATGACTGTTTTTTTTTTTTTTTTCAATAGAGGGTCTAACTATGTAGCCCCGGCTGTTCTGGCAGTCACTCTACAGACCAGCCTCAAACAGAGATCCACCTGTCTTTGCTTCCCAGGTTCAGGTAAAAAAGATTTGTGCCACTGTGCCTGGCTTACTGTTACTATTTTTAATCATGCATATGTGTGTGTCTCTTTGTAGGTGTGTGTGTGTGTGTATGAGTGTGTGTGTGAGTGTGTGTAGTGTGGTGTGTGTATGAGTGTGTGTGAGTGTGTGTGTGGTGTGTGTGTGTGTGCGCGCGAGCGCACGCGCGCTCACACGTGCGGGTTCAGGTACCTATGAGACAAGAGGCACCATCAGTGAAGGCTAACAGGCCCAAGCATGGCAGTCACAGTGCCGACAGGCCTCTCCCTTGCTAAACTGTTAGATCACATTCCTAAAGCTAGCCACCAAGGTCTGTTCCCTTTATTTGACTACTTTATGCCTGACTAAAACTCCAAGGTCCAGCAATCAAAACACACTATTTGGC